GGATAATGTTACTGACAGATATTTCATGTGCTCCGGGGGTAGAATTTGTAGCCCTAGAAATGATAGGTGTAGGCAGGTTGCTCTTCAGGCAGGAATTGTATATTCAGCTTGGGTTTTAAATATACTCCTGTACCCTGCAGATGATTATTAGCTAATTGGAAAATAGAGACAGTAATAAAGATACGCTCGGTTCTTCTTTCATTTTCGACTTGGCAACCCATCATTTCTGTGATACATATTTTACACAATTAGCTTTGCTAGTGGAGATTTGGAATGAAAAATCAATGTTTCAGATAATCTTTTCGCTACTTGAACAAACATGAACGTATAATTTTCCTTGGTCAGCTTAAACTTCATGTATAACTTTGAGATATTTGAAATCCATTACTAGCCGTCACAAATGAGGCAGTCACTATGCATAGATTGATTTCTTAACTAATAAAGGTGAGAGGCATGGGAGAGTTGGGTTTTGAGTTACCATCAGATGACTGTAACTTGACCCTAGTCCTCATATGTCTACAATGCCAAAAGTTTCTGAGTGAAATACAACTCACTGTGAATTCTGATTACATTTCTACTCCCTTCCAAAAATACAGAAAGGAAATTAAGTTACATTTGATTACATTACAAGAATCTATTCGGTGTCTGGGCAGTCATGGCCATGTCAGAAGTCAAATGCACACATTGCCCAGGAGTATGTTCTGCTGGCCTCTGGCCCTTTGGCTTCAGCTGAACAGTTTGCAAGCATCAGGAGACAGTTAAAAGAGAACACAAATGTACCTATGTCATTTCATTAGGAACAAACCAGTTTTTGTTTATGGGGAACAAGTGGAGAATTAGAACCCTTGAAACTTGAGAACAATTTGTCTGGTCCTCACAGCAATGTTACCAGTTGCAATAGATCACGTTTCTTCAACTCCCTCCAAGAAGCCAAGAGTAGATGGGTGGAGCAGAGATCATAAATGGTCGGTTTTGCTGGTTCTCAACCTTTTGGGTGTGTTGACCATTCAGTAGTGTAACAGAACACTGAACATTCGAATTCCTCATGCATGTTTTGTATACAGATCATCTAGAGTTTTGTTCAAACAAAGTTTCTTATTAGGTCAGGCTGAGCTGGGCCCCCGAGGTTCTGCATAGCTCAGGTGCCGCTGATGTGGCTGGTCCGGACATCACATTTGAGTATCTGGGTGGTACAGCGTGTGTTCTTTCAACTTTATTCAAGGTAGTCAGTAGAATTAACAGGAAGAAGTGAACTCTTTTCAATTAAACACATGGCAATGTCTCACTTTTATATTCTACCTATATTATTAGCTCAAATTGGACTACAAAGTATGCACTTTCGTTATTTTTTTTTTTAGGTTTGAAAAGAATTCAGAATGATTTTCATATCTCCCAAGGGAATATCACCTGCAGAACATGTAATTTTGCAATTTTGACTTTAAGAAATACTTACATAAATAAGAAAGCTATTAGAAAACACCAACACATGGATCCCTGTAGTAGGCTTTCTCTTTGGGCCACCAACCAGCTCCCACATCATGATATGGAGACTTACTATTAGTTATGAATGCTCACCTGTAGCTTATGCTTGTCCCCACTAGCTCTTATAACTTAAATTAACCTGTTTCTCTTCATCTGCGTTTTGCCTCAGGGCTTTTTACCTTTCTTTCATTCTGTATGTCCTACTTGGTGTCTGTCTGGTTGGTTGTTGGCTGGCTGGCCCCAGGCATCTCCCTCTCTTTCTCCCTTCCCTCTCTCTTCTCTCTCCTTTTTTCTCTCCTCTCCAGCCTAGATTCCTCCTCCTACTCATTCTCTCCATCCACCAGCCCTGCCTATCCCTCTACTGCCTAGCTATTGACCATTCAGCTTTTTATTAGACCAATCAGGTGCCTTAGGCAGGCAAAGTAAAACAGCAACACATCCTTACAGAATTAAACAAATGTAGCATAAACAAATGCGACACATCTTTACCTAGTTAAAGTAATATTCCACAACAGATTGCATCCTCAGGGTTGAGGTTTGAGTGGGGAATGTCAAACACAGGCTCTTGAGTTTGAATACTGAGTCATTGGATAGTGGCATTGCTTGGGAAGGTTTCGGAACCTTTAGGGGGGTGGAGCCTTGCTAGAGGAAGTGGGTCACTGGGGTGGGGATTGGGGTTTTATAATCTTGCCCCACTTCCTGTCCACTCTTTGCATCCTGACTCTGAATGCAATGTGGCCAGATGCTTCTCACTGTATATCAACTTTTAAGTTGACCCCCTCAAACTGTAAGCCAAAATAAATGCTTTCCCCTCTACGCTGCTTCCTGTCAGGTATTAGTGACAGCAGTAAGAAAGTAACTAACACACTCAGGGATTCCGATTTGCATCGTTCTGGGGTGTAGCCAAGGTGTTGGAACTTTCTGGGTGATTATCAGCAACACTGAAGAGCCTCACAAGTGGGGAGGTATGTACAATGCAATGCTCAGTGGGGTGTACATGTAAAACACAAAGAAAATCTCTCTTTCCCTCCCTTCCTCTCTCCCTCCCTCCCCTTCTCTCTGTAGTCCCCCCCCCCCCCCGCCATATGTGTGTGTGTGTGTGTGTGTGTGTGTGTGTGTGTGTGTGTGTGTGTGTGTGTTGGGGTTGGGGAAATGGGGGTCAACTTAAGAGAACATAATGAAAGAACTACCATATAGTTAAGGGGCTAAGTGATAATCTAAGTCCAAGAAGAGGCTGTGACTTGGTAGAGAGCTCCTGGTATTGGCAGGGGAGGAGATGGAGTCCCCCCACCCCCATTTTTGCTCTTTTCGACACTGAAGCAGTACAAAGCGAATGCTCTTGCATTCCAGGTGGACGATCTGGAGTCAGAACGGAATCAGAAGGAATGTGAGGACTACCAGTCCCACTCTAATCCTTTCCTTTTGGAGCTGTTTAATAGCATCAGGAGAAAGACAATTTAGCCCTGTAAGCACAGGATAAAAATACAATTCAAATGGGGTTTGCTGTTCCCCAGACCTCCAAACCAGGGCAGGGGCACCCTCAATTGGTGCAACATGGTCTGTAGAGCTCTCGTTGAATGTGCTTATGAATCTCTTGTGAACAGACCCTATTTGCTGGACCAAAGCAGCACAAACAATATCAGAGAGAAAAAGAAGAACACTAGCACATACATTGCCCTTGCCTCATACCTCACACTGATTGTGCTCTGGGCAAAGGGACCCTGTGACCATCCTAGCATAATCCAGCTGACACAACGCAGTGTGAGCCAGGGGCTGAGAACCTGTCTAGACACTTCATTTCGGATGTGACGTCATCCTGGCAAATTAACCCTCGACCTTTTCACAAGGAACATGCATTTATATCATTCACAAGGCTTCGGAAAGTAATTCCTTTGTGAACCAGAAACCAGGAGACACCTGGTGAACAGTAAATATCGGGCCGGTCAGAAACAAAATCTGAACACCTTTATCAGAGAGTCACCACCCAGTTCAAGCGAACAAAAGCTTCATGGTTTTCTCTTTCTCAAAGAGCTCACTTCTGTTTGTGATCTTTCAGCCAATAGGGGATTTCGGTTACAAACTCTTATCCTTCTATCTGCGGCCTGCCTTGCAGCTGTTTAGAGGTCCGATCGGGCGCTGCCATTATCTCGATGTCAATTTAGCTACGAGAGCCCCATGCCCGCACAGCCCCACCGGAGGCAGTTGGCTTACCCCTGCTTGCTTCGGGTAAAGCTAGCTGAACCAGAGCAGCAAGACAGTGTCCTGTCATTAAGGAGTGGCTGGCAAAGCAGCAGCCTCTCCCCAGCCACAAAGGGGCCCTTGTGGGCTTGTTTATCTATAGGCTGCTGAAAACCTAGGAAGTCACTTTGTTTGCCTAGAAAAAAAAAAGCTTGAAATGATCTCGAGCACAGATTTTCTTTCATTAAAAAGAAAGATCAAAGGACGGAGGTCTCATCCTCAGATCTCACATCCCCTTCTCTCATGTCACCGCAGTAAAAAGCATTAAGCCAACTGTATGTAATTATTAACTGATGGATTCCTTACGAAGATTTCCAGCCAGAGCCTGCGGTATTCTCCTGCTTTGTTCACGCATTTATCTTCCTCATCAGTCAAGACTAGAAAGCAGTGCTTTGTTAGACAGATGAGGACCTCCAGCAGAAGTACAATTAAAGAGTCCATGACTCACGCGTGTATCAGAAATCATGCGACGTATTGCAATCACTCATACGTTCTGATGGGAAGGCGACTTACTCACACAGCAGGTGAGGCGGAGACTTGCCAAGTAGTTGATTGAGAACAATTACTTCCAACCCAAGCTCCCAAACATCTAGCTGGTAGGAATGTTCTTCACGGGAGCAATTACTTATGTGTTTATGTGGGTGCTTGGAGAGAAACTCCTGATGGAAAGAAGGGTGTGGGTTCAGAGCAAAAGACATCAGCGCCACTGAAGGGTGTGTGTGTGTGTGTGTGTGTGTGATGGTATGTCTGTGTGAGGTCTGTGAGGCCATGTATATGGGAACTGTGGGACTGTTTGTGATTATCTATGTGTGGGCAGTTGGTGGTTTGTGCTGTAGCCATGCTTCAGTACGCATGGTAAGTCTTGATTTCATAATTTGAGGGTGTTGGACAGATATGCAGAGTTTAAAACACCCATCTTCACTTGACTCAGCAAAATTGGATTACAAAGAAGCTCTGACGCTTTAAAAATAAATTAAAGATGCCAGACTATCAGATTGTCCCATCCAATTTTCTAGGTAAAAACTAAGCACCATTTCTGATTTGAATTTAGAAACAAAACTATTAATGGGAATGAAAGTAGATGTTTGGTCCTGAGACACATAGAGGAGGCTTTTGATTGCAGGTGTAATTAAATATCTGCCTGGATATCTCAACCTCTAGGGCTAGGACTCAAGTCCATACAACTCATCAACTCATGGACCAAACAAAATGGTCTACAGGACATTTAAATGTCCCTTCTCAAACCGAGACTCGTGTTTTGTAGTTACAACGGTACTTACAGGGATTGGAGACTTCGCAAGTTCTGCAGGGCTTCCGAGGGGACCTGTTTCAGTTGATTATTCTGCAGCATACTGCCCATGAAAACAATGGAGAAAGATATTAAAGAAAAGTCACACTAGACAACCCTAACGCAACAGCATCAGGCACCGTTCCAGGTGCCGTCAAAACATCGGAACGTCAATCAAAGTGTTCGGGAGGATAAATTCCCAAGGGAGTGCCAATAAGAAAGAAATAAGTTCTAAAAACCCAATTATCAATTCAGCCCAGATCTCTAGTTTAGTTCCCTTTGAATGACAGAAGTAGAGCAGGTTATCTTGTGTCCCCAGTGAGTTAATTAGAAATTCCTGCTTTTGGTCGCGATATTTCAATGGGAGACAAAACAGTTCAAGGGCTTATAGTACTACAGAGTGCAGTATAAAACTCCCACATGGGCCGGGTCATGGTGGCGCACGCCTTTAATCCCAGCACTTGGGAGGCAGAGGCAGGCGGATCTCTGTGAGTTCGAGGCCAGCCTGGACTACCAAGTGAGTTCCAGGAAAGACGCAAAACTACACGGAGAAACTCTGTCTCGAAAAACAACAACAACAAAACAAAACAAAAAACCCCCAAAACTCCCACATGGCTGCTGATTTCTTTTGCAAGCCCTCCTTACTGAATCCACGGAATATAAACCAAGCCGAACATGTCCTGGGTAGGGGTGTAGACACATAACTCCATTTTATCATTTGCATAACAGTACAAAAAGAATGATATGAACTGCTTTTGTTAGAGACAAGGTGTGATTTCTATGACTTTTAATTTCTTTTCTCAGTCTGTTTAAAATAGCCACTATTTCATACAGCATCTTCAGGTTTCTCTAAGTATACATCTTTGCTTATACTGTCTTTTTCCTTCTCTTCTAGTTTTTGATCAGAAAGGCTAAGTGAGAACAGATAAGATGAAGTGGGGGGTGGGGCAGGGAGGAGAACAATTTTTTAAATAGAGACTAGTGACAACTGAGGACCTAATTCTCAGATTTTATTTCTGTTTAAGTCTATGTATAGACTTCATGTCGTTTACCAAGGCTGGATCCTAGATCAACATCGGATGAGGGAAGGATGGCTCTCTGTGACTTTTCTTTTCTTTTTTCTTTATTCATTTTACATACCAACCACAGATCCCCCTCTCATCCCTCCCCCCACCTCCTCCCCCTCCTCTGTGACTTTTCTATAGTTACCTTTGCCTATCACCATATGATTTTGGTTTGGAGGTGGGTGGTAGGAGGAGGGCTTCTCTCCTTGACTGAAGGGCTTATACCAGAAAATGAATTTTGTTGAAATGTCTCATGCAGCATTTCAGTGGGTTAAGTATTTTGCAGTACAGAACCAAATGGCTTATTGATCTTAGGGCCAATGTGTTCAGGAACAATGATCATATATGGCAAGAGATCACAATAAGATTCCACATATGAAACAGCCCTAGCCAACCAAGGCTGCTGGCATCTTCATTCTTTATCTTAGTTGACTGGACCTCTAGTACATTTCTCTTGTCTTACCATAGGCTCTACTCATCCACCTCATGCAAGGCATGGCTCTAAATGAACATGACCTTTCCATTATCTTTGCGTCCACTTTTGAACTTTATAAAATATTTGAGAGCTGCTATGAGGATAGTGACAAGTCTCTTCTGCTCAGAATTTTGTTGCTTGCGCTGTGGCTTTCAACTTCATTGGATCAGTACTTACCTAATGGCATCACAAAGGAGAAGTAACTATGGAAAAGTAATTTATAGTAAAATTATTTGACTAAATGCATGGCATTATGTATGACGATCTGTGGAAGTCTGAATGTAATTGGCCTCCATAAGCTCATAGGGAGTGGCTCTATTAGGAGGTGCGGCCTTGTTGAAGTAGGTGTGGCCTGGTTGGAGGAAGTGTGTCACTGTGGGGGTGGGCTTTGAGGTCTCCTATACTCAAGTTATGCCTAGTTCAGTTCACTTCCTGTTGCCTGTGGATCAAAATGTGAGACTCTCAGCTCCTTCTCCAGCACCATGTCTGCCTGCATGCCACCATACTCCCAGCCGCCATGTACCACCATGATGATAATTGACTAAATGTCTGAAACTGTAAGCCACCTCATTAAATGTTTTCCTTTATAAGAGTTGCTGTAGTCATGATGTCTCTTCACAGCAATAGAAACCTTAACTAAGATACAATACCAGGAATCATTTTTTTTTTTTTTTTTTTTTTTTGGTTTTTCGAGACAGGGTTTCTCTGTGTAGCTTTGCGCCTTTCCTGGAACTCACTTGGTAGCCCAGGCTGGCCTCGAACTCACAGAGATCCACCTGGCTCTGCCTCCCGAGTGCTGGGATTAAAGGCGTGCGCCACCACCGCCCGGCTGACCAGGAATCATTTTTAATGAAGGAGTCAGATGCTAGACTCTATATTTATATGTTTACTTCTTTTTTCCTGAGACAAGATCTCATATAGCCCATATTCATTTCAAACTCATTAGCTGAGGGTGACTTTGAACTTCCGGTCATTCAGCCTCCACTTCCCTAGTGCTAGGATTACAGGCATGCACTGCTATGCCTGCTTCATGAAGTGCTAGGGATAGAATCCAGGACTTCATGCATGTTAAGCAACCACTTCACAAGCTGAGCTACATCCTTAGCCCTTGCTTAGAATTTTAATAATAAGGTATGTGTGAGAAAAATAATGTGATTGGAAGCCATTTCATATACAACTAGAAAGATGGATAGACTCGAGATGGCAACTGGAATAGAAACTAGTGAAGACATGTAACAACAGAGCATTCTTAGATATTTTAAAGGAAAAAAGGAAATAATCTTTATTAAAATAAAAATAACAGAGCCCAAATAAAATGCAAGGGTTGCACTTCAGGTGAAGAGCTGTGAAACTCACATATGGGTGTGGGTATCCTCAGGATAAGTCAAACTCATCTCCTATGCCTTAGGACAAGAAACTCTTGAAAGGGCCTAAGAGTATTCATCCTATATGTTCAGGTGGAGGTCAGCATTCCTTCTCTAGTACTTTGAAAGGCTCTGGAGATTATATCCCTTCATAGGAAATGGGGATTCAAGGTTGATTGGGAACTTGCTTTCTTCAAAGTTGGGCACTAACCCTTGTTAGGCAGTGGAAGAGTATGATTTCAAAAGCAACAGGCCATCCAATTAATAATCCATTGAATAATTGCTACAGCATGAACTCTGTATGTGTGCCCCAGGTAGTTAAAAGGAGATAGTATGAAATATGTATAAAGCAAACTTTGTTAACTAAATCCAACATGACTCTTTCTCTTTGCTTCTTATTTTTCTGCTAATTTAATAGTGATTTCAAAGAAGTTTTACACACACACACACACACACACACACACACACACACGCACACAGTCTGTTTTGTGGCTTTTGATATGTTTCTACTGAATAAATGATACTTTAACTTAAACAAATCATTGGAACACCTATCATGCTAGAAACAAAATAAATACAAACTCAATTATTCAATGGTTTTGATAGAATGCATTTAATCCACCTCAATTTCCCTATAAAAATATGACACCATGTTGGACTTCTTATAAAACCTTTCTGCAGAGTTATGCACTAAAGTAGCATTGATTTGCATTTGGTGACAAGGCATAGTCAGAAGTCTGGTAGATAAAATTGCTTTTACGCTGGGTAATACGCCACATTTTGACCCACCTTCCGGGTCACAACTGGAGAGAGATGTCCTCACAGACTCTTTAAATATTCCATAGCAGGCAGAGTCTCCACGCTGAGGACCATCGCGCTAATGCCATGACAGTTTAAGTTATTTAAACATCTGGGTTTTGTGGGGTGTTAGTCTCTAAGTCACCGATGCCAGTATTGAACACAGTTCCTGCAGGACCTCGCTGCTCTTGAACCCTCACCATTTGATAGGGGTCGAACAAAACTGTAAAGTCTGAACACATCTCTCCTTATGTCTTTTCTTCAAGTCCTCATTATGCTTAGAAAAAAAAATATCCGTGTTGTTTTGACATGACACCTGAGCTGTCTATAATGGGAATCTCTAGACTGTAAGACAAATTGCTAAACAATCTTATTAATAAAAACCCAGAGCCAGATATTGGGGTGAAAGCCGAGAGATCAGGGAATAGGACAAGCCACAGCCAACCTCACCTCACCAACTCCTCAGCTTCCAGAGAGAGCTACTTCCTGTATACCCACTTCTCTATGCCTTTCTGTTCTGCCATCTCACTTCCTCTCTCTGCCTAGCTACATCACTTCCTGTCTGTCTGTACAGACTCCAGACCTCTATGGTTAGTGCTGGGATTAAAGGCGTCTGTCACCATGCCTGGCTCTGTTCCCCATTGTGGCCTTGAACTCACAGAGATCCGGATGGATCTCTGCCTCCTGAATGCTAGGATTAAAGGTGTGCTACCATTGCCTGACTTCTATATTTAATATAGTGGCTGGCTTTTTCCTCTGATCCTCAGATGAGCTTTATTAGGGTGCACAATATATTGGGGGATACAACATATCACCACATTACTTTCCTCCAAAGCTCTCCTTTAAATGCTGGCATATTAACCCCTTGGGGGCTGCCTCTTCACCCCTGACCTTGGCCACCCATGCCCCTCTTGAGCACACTGTCCTGTCATTCAGCTACCAGCTTACCTGGAGGGTTAATTTCAAGTTATACTTCCAGATTCAGCTTCTGTTGTTGTTTGTTTGTTTTTTGCTTTTTTTTTTTTCTCTGCAGGAAAATCTCTTTCCTAGGAAGCCAAGGCTGAACCCTAGACTGGACTGAATGTTCCTAGCCTTTATAGTTGTATAGCTGATCACATCTCTAGATATGCTTTGTCCAAGAAGCAGAGGTGATATGCTTGTCTGTCTTGATCCCACAATCTTCCACTAGATTATAAAATCTTCAAATTCGTGACTTATATTCATTGGCCTAGCAGTAATTTCTAGCAATAATTTGTTTAATGACTCTTTGAGCACCACAAGCAGCAAGCTTAGAAGACAGGAAACATCGGTTGGTAGGAATGGATAAAAAGAGACTCTCAATGACAATCATTTGTTGCATTCATTTTTTTTTCCTGGTGGAAAGAGTACATTTAAACAGTGAGTCTCAGAGATAGCCTATAGCCTCAGCTCATTTCCTGTTGCCGTAATATAACAAGAAAACCCAAGGATGGGAACTTTATTAAGCAAATAGGTTTATTTAGTTTACAGGCTGAAAGTCCAAGATCATTTATCCAGATTTTAGCATCATCTATCCAAAGTCTAGTGAGGGATGCAGGAATGGTAACATCACAATGAAGGAATAGACCCCAAAGCAATCATATGGTAAGACAGGAAACTGAAGGGATTCAGGGGTCAAGCTTGTTTTTTTTTATAATGATTTCCACTCTGGGGAATTAACCAGGTGAAAACTGTGTTAATCCTCTGAGAATGGCTCTTCCAATGACAGAGTGACCTCCCGATAGGCTCCACCCCTTAATGGTTCCACTGTTTTAGCATTACCCTACCTACCAGGACCAAACTTTCCACACATGAATGTTTGGGGGACAAATTTGAACCATATCCAAACTACAGCTTCTAGGACTCATTTAAAAAAACCAGTTTAGGCCAGTGCTATCTAGAGTGTGTGGGCAAAATGTAGCTCAGGAAGCAGCAAGAGCATGTGCTTAACCATTCTGGGCACATGAAATGTGTTTGCAGGCAGAAACCCATATCATACACAGACACCTCCTTCACTGAATGGCTAATAGTTATCTGATAAATAAACTTGAAACATTGGGTGCACATCACACAAAATTAAGAAACTGTCGATGTCTAGAGCGTCTGTGTTTTCCCTGCGTCATGAATCAGAATCATCATTCCACAAATGTTTACTGAGTGCATACTGTGAGTCAGGTATTTTTCTTTTTCTTTTTTTTTTTTTTGGTTTTTCGAGACAGGGTTTCTCTGTGTAGCTTTGTGCCTTTCCTGGAACTCACTTGGTAGCCCAGGTTGGCCTCGAACTCACAGAGATCCGCCTGCCTCTGCCTCCCGAGTGCTGGGATTAAAGGCGTGCACTACCACTGCCCGGAGTCAGGTATTTTTCAACCGGCTGGGATATACCAATGACCAGGACATATTTTGTCTTTGATTTACTGGACATGTAGTGTATTATGAGGAACACTCAGTGGGAAGGCAGTGCAATTAGAATTATACAATGGAAAAATCAGGAAATATACATAATATAGTGGTGGAAAAAAATCATGTATAAAACTTGAGTAGTTCAAATTTCATTAAAAATTTAGGAATTTAAAATTATATTTCCATGCAATTATAATAAGCCACATATACTTCATATCATGTAACTCATTTGTATTCATATCAGATACTTGTATATCAAATAAACTATGATGGCTTGAGATGCACCTGTACACATATATACACACTATCTCATATACTCAATACACAGTTTGTTGAGTGAATTGAAGAGGTTGATTATAGTATAATTTATTCTTTTGTAGTTTATTTATTTTTAGTTGTATGTGAATGTGTACTTGTCTATATGTTTATGAACCTATGGGTCACGGTGGAGAACAAAAGGGGGCCACGGGTCCCTTGCAACTGGAGTGACAGGTGGCTGTGAGCTGCCATGTGGGTGCTGAGAATAAATTCTGGGTCCTCTTTGAGAACAGCCAGTCCTCTTAACCATAGGAACATCTCTCTAGCCCCTACAATATGATATATTTAACAGCATTCAAATATTTTATTGTACATGACTTGACATGGGGAATCATTTTAGCCATCTTATTTAAACTTGAATTTCACGATGCATTTTGAATGGTTCAAATATCTTGCTGGATTCATTGAAACACAGGTTCATTGTACATGTTGCTAATACAGATAATAAGTTAGCATCAGGGTTGGCAATATGACCCAAAATTTTTGTTAATAGCACAAATGACCCGAAGAAAAGGCAAGCTAAATCCAGTCATCTAAGAAGACCTAATAATGGTTCTGCTATAGAATTTATTTATTTTTTATCCATCTATTTATTTTACATCCCAGCCACAGCCTCCCCACCCCCACCCCAGTTGTTCTCCTTCATTCTCTTAGAACTTAATTTTTCATAAAATATTAAATTGAATTAAACTTTTTAAAATTTACATATATCTTAGGCGACTGAAATGCAATTTTCATTAAGCATATATAAATCAAATGCTTTTTTGGAGTTAACTTTAATCTCAATGAAAAAAAATAAAATCAAGATATTGTTCTAGGGATAAAATTTAGAGTGACTTGCAACTTTTACTATTTTCTACAAACTTGAACACACTGAAACAAAATTTTGTGGTGGGTACTGGAAGAAGAAGGTGTTTGTGCTGGCTACTTTTATGTCAAGTGAGAGGAGGGAATTTCAATTAAGAAAATCCCTCCACAAGATCAGGCTGTAGACAAGCCTGTAGGCCATGCTCTTAATTAGTGATTGATGTGGGATGGCTTAGTGTATTGTGGGTGGTGCCACCCTTGGGCTGGTGGTCCTGGGAGCTAGAAGAAAGCAGGCTGGGAAAGCCACAAGGAGCAAGTCAGTAAGCAGCACCTCTCTATGGCCTCTGCATCAGCTCCTGCCTCCAGGTTCCTGCCCTGCTTGAGTTCCTGCCTTGACTTCTCTCAGTGGATTGTGATTCAGGACGTGTCAGTCAAATAAACCCTTTCCTCCCCAAGTTGCTTTTGGTCATGGTGTTTCAGTACAGCAGTAGTAGCCCAAACTAAGAAAGTATCCAACAGTACTGAATTTTAGGACAACAAATTTGGAAGCTGGACAATGAATGCTAAACAACATATGTATAAACATGCATTTAAAATCTTCCACTCCTTCTCCCCTACTCTCTCCCCTGTGTAGAACCCAGGGCTTTGGGTATAGTTGGCAAAGGTTGTACCATTGAGCTACATCCCTAACCCAACATTTCATAAGGAACAGCTGTCCACTTTACTAGGCCGTACTCCAGGCTTTCTGCATCTACTCATACACACAAACCTAACATGCTTGAGTGAGTCCTGACTTGGTTGATCATAAGGAAACAAATTTCAAAGCAAGTTTGAAGCTGTGATCTCATTATGGTGGCATCCCAGTGAGTTATTCTCTCAGGGACCAGAATCTTTAGACACATGCTCCCCAACTACATGACATGGAGAAAAAAAAGAAACATTCCTGCATGTTTGAATAGGTAAGGGGGTTATGTCAAGGCTAAAAACTTTAGATATAATGTTAGAGAAGGGGAGAGGAATTGTCACACACAGGTTATAGACAAGTGTAACAAGGATTTACGACACCAGGGAAGACAGAGAGGGACTTCAATGAGTCACCTCAAAGATCCAAGTTGCACCCCATGTTTGCACATTCATTAGCTGTCATTTGACATGAAAATCAGAACGGTCTCCAACAACGCTTGGTTTACTTACAGAACTTTAAGACTGTGAAGGCCTGTGAATGCTCCCTTGGGAATGTGTGTCAAAGCATTTCCAGCAAGACGTCTGTGGGTTTCAGTGGACAGGGGAGAGAGGGAGAGAGAGAAAAAGAATTAGCATATCCTTCTTCAAGTGGAATTCATTTCACTGTTGAAGATGCAATACAACTATGTTCAAACCACATAAGTAACTGTAAAGAACCTTGTTTTCTCATAGTTTGCAAACACTTTAAATTTCCAAAAACAGTGTTGGCAGAAGAGGTGCTTAAGAAAAAAATGAAATAAATTACTTTAAAATAAATGATTTCCTATGTATCTATTCCTGCCCTTTAATTTTTTAAACAAAAACTACCACCACATAATAATTTGAAACAAACTTGTGATGTCAAAATGTGACATGTTTTACTTCCAACATTTATAACATGAAATAATCACACGAGAATATTTTCAGTGTAATTAGTCCAGAATATACTCATTTTTTTAATTATTGGAAAATAAGAATGCATATTATCACAGCCACTTTCTCCCTAAACCACAAGAAAAGATAGAGAAGCTTAATTTAACATGCCTTAATTGAATAATACTTTAATTGGGAGCACAGAGCTCAGAGTGGAATACGCTAACATAAGTGACTTCATGGCAAGTTTTGACATCATTTCTGAGTAACATTTGAAAAGTTATCTTTACAACAATTTTTATTGAGAAAAATATGCAAAAAAGGCTAATGAAGTGTGTGGCTCCAATGTTTGATTCTGTATAAATTCAGCCACATCAGAGCCATAGCCTGAGATGTATGTGATACTATCTATCAAGTGGAAAAACTTAGGACAACAAAGTGAGTCAGAAGAGCAGAGTCTCCCAAGGACTTCATCACATCCAAGGGCCAGAACACCTCTAAGTCAAGACAGACCCGTCCTTCAGTGATGAAGATGTAGGTTAGGGCTAAGGGTAGAGTTGGTCTACTTGACTAGAACCCTTTTCCTGAAGGATCTGATGGCCTCAAATATATTCTCTTGATATTGTGTTCAAAGGGGGAGACAATTCAGCTAAAGCCTTGACTGAAATAAACCAGTCACCATACAACTTTAAATATGTATCCCCTTGCTAAGCCCATACCGCTGACATTAGACCACACACATTTAAAAAAATAATGCAATTTATCTTATGAATAGAAATGAGTGGTATTAGGATTAAGAGTCTCTGAGGAGTTGGAGAGATGGCTCAGTGGTTAGGTGACTTGTTGCTCTTCTAGAAGACCCGAGTTCAGTACCCAGCACCCATATGGAGTCCCTCACGACTGCCAATAGCTGCAGGAGACTGACACCCTCTCCTGGCCTCCTCTGGTACTGGCATGCATGCAACACACACACACACACACACACACACACACACACACACACACACACACACACACGCACACACGCACACACACACACACACACACACCCCAATATAAAACAAAAAACATTTGAAGCCAGATGTGATGGTTCAGGCACGCAATACTAGTATTTTGGAGGCAGAGGCAGGAGGATCTTAAGTTTGCATCCAGCCTGGACTAAACAAGACCCTGTCTCAAGCCCAAAACAGCAATAATCATACCAACACAGAAGTAATAACATCAAGAAAAAAAAAAACCGACAAGCATTTGTCCAATTGAAATTACATATGCCACAATATTTGTAATCCTGATTTTAAGAAGGAATTTAACCCTTCTTTTTTCAAGACAGGGTTTCTCTGTGTAGCTTTGTGCCTTTCCTGGAACTCACTCTGTAGCCCAGGCTGGCCTCGAACTCATAGAGATTTGCCTGGCTCTGCCTCCGGAGTGCTGGGATTAAAGGCGTGCGCCACTGCCACCCGGCAAGAAGGAATTCAATAACACAAGGGACTTGGGCTTTTTAAAGGAGCTTTGCCTGTCTTTTTCATGTGTGTATTAATTTGCTTTCAACTGTTAAGTCAGTAGACATCCCTGTGCTTCTTCACTTCAGTAACAATATGAAAAGTTTAGACAAGATGCCATCTCAGGACCCTTCCAGGCCCCTGACACCACTATTTTGTGTTGTGGTGGCTTGTGCCTCTCTTTCTTCCCTTGACAGATGTAATCTGTAAACCCTCCATAGCTTGTATTCTGTACTCCTTCCCTCATGGTCTAAGGAAGTGTTTTTCAAACAGTAAATACATTTTTTAGGCTCTCATTCTGAAATTAACAGTTAAAATGCAGAATAAAAAAGAGAGTGGATAAATGTTGTTTTGTACCAAATATACTTATGGAAAGGATTATGGAAGAAATGTTTCTTTTTAAATATGCACAGTGAAAAAAAATTGAAATCCACTAACCTAACCATGGCAGGAAATCAGAAAATATGTGTTAATCATATGTAATTCAGCTTAATATTTGACCAAGGTGATTCCAAAGGGTTTAAAATTTTTCCTATAAAATTGTTTTATAAGAAACCTTGTGATCTTCCTCTGCCTCACCCCCCAATTCATTCCCTCCTTGCTCTGTGTTCATTGATGATCTTTGTGTGGTCAGCTCTGGCCATATTAGTGACTCATTAAAAACTCTTACCAGTTTTCATACCTGGAGGAAACAAGCCCTCGGCTGCTTCCACAAATCCCTTTATCCTGAAGCTGAGCTAGACCACGAGGCTAGCCATCATGTTTATCCTTTTGCTTCATCTAGAATCATCTTTTGTCTGCTCCCTTCTGTCTCTCAAAGCCATCTCATTTCTGAGACTTCTAATTTCTCTATTGGAACTCCTTTGGTAGTAGTCTGTGCCTGGATGATGGGTTATAGAATCTACTTTGTACTGTGCCTGCCATATAACACATAAACCTGGGGCTTGGTTTTGTACCTGTTCTAGGACCCTCAAATAATGTTGCAGGCATCGTGAATTGCCCAAACTGCATTTAACTAATCAGTTTAAATAAAGACCAATAACTGTCCCCCAGTATTCCTTCCTTTCAGGGTAATTTCCCCTACATAGAGTTTAGAGTTTAACTGTACACATGGACACTTACCTAGAGTCTCATTTTTGTAGCCTTTTTTTTTTTGCATCTTCCTGCACTAACATGACTAAGTCAGACTATGTAAAAATGCTACATGCAGCTTCTCCATCACCTCCGAAAAGGAGGTTGCTTGTTCCCAACTTCCTCTATTTCCCCTTTCCTGCAGATGTGTCTGGTGAAACACTATCACGGGTTCGAATGTGAAGACCATTCCATGAAAGGAGAAATGAGGAGAATACAAAGGAGAGAAGTGGACTGTGGAGAAGGCTCGGTAGGTAAAGTGTGGGGACCTAAGTTTAATCCCCAGAGGTCGCTTAAAGCCAGGGCCAGTAGTGCACATCTGTAATGTCAGTAGCAGGGAGACAGAGACAAGAGACTCCCTGAAGCTTGATTCACCAGCAAATAATAAAGAGACCCCCGTCTCAAACAAGAGGACACCAGAGGTTGTTTCCCACCTTCCACACACAAGCACTGCTACGTGCAGTGTGCCTACACTCACTCACGTGAATGCACCCTCCCCACCCAAAGGAAGGAAATGACCTGGGTCCCCCAGATGACTTTGTGGAGTTGTGGACCCAAACTGTCCCACAGCCTTGCAGTCGCTTTTGGATGAATAAGTGGATCAGTATGGACCTGGGTTATCTTCTGCAAACAAGCGGATGATTGAAGGCTTATTTAGCTGGCAAGGAAATATCACACCTGCCTGCACGCTGGCCTCAGGGAGTCAGGTTCCCAAAGCTGTTCCAGTTGTCCACACTCACTGTCTTCGCTTTCTCTCCCTTTCATCTCTACACAGTTAACTTGCAGTCGGCACACCTGAGCTAGCACAGCGCCCTGTTAGGGCTTCTGGGCTCCTAACAGCCATTTGGAGTTGAGGAAAAAAAAAAAATGCCCTTTATCATTCTTCCATACTTAGTTTCTTGTAGCCAGCAAGCATTTGTCGGGGGTTTGTCCTGTCCGGGGACTGCTTTGGTGACGCGGTAGTGAATATGAGACTCATAAAGGTCCCAAACTCAACCGAGTTCACATTCTAATGTGAGGGGAAAGTCATTGGGCCCAATAACAAACAGCATAGCGTGATTGTTCTCTGAGGGAAGAAGAGCAGTGGTAAAGAGACATGGAACACTGAGGGCTGTGGTCATGGAGGGCGATTATTTTAGATACAATGGAATAGGAGAGCCTTTCTGCTACGAGGGCGTTTCAACAGAGGTCTGAGCCATACTGTGAAGGGGAGATTAGAATGGCGTATACCTGGTGTGGTCTAGAGTCTTCTGGAGGGTGAGTACGGAGAATGGCCAAGCAGGAGAATGCCAGGGAGTGGGGCAGGAAGCTGCCCAGGGCTACTGCTTCAGTGGCTTTGGAGGACCATTGAGTCAAAGAGTGGTGTGAACAGACCTGTATTTTGAATGGATACTTCTTGTGGGACTATCTTAAAAGGCTAAGAGTGAAAGCATAGGCACAGTTAGAACATTCTGGAGCTGGTGTAGTCAACAGCAGAGGTGGCCGGACTTGGTGTAGAAGAAAAAAAGAAACCTACACTGTTCCTATGAATCCACCAGTAGAGTCAAGGTGTAAAGTATGTGGTTAAACCAGGAAAAGTGGTGGTGGCGCACGCCTTTAATCCCAGCACTCAGGAGGCAGAGCCAGGCAGATCTCTGTGAGTTCGAGGCCAACCTGGTCCACAGAGGGAGATCCAGGACAGGCACCAAAACTACACGGAGAGACCCTGTCTCGAAAAAGACAAAACAAAACAAAAAACAAACAAAAACCAGGAAAAGCCACATTCTGTCATGATGAGTAGATGGGCACTGCCCACCTGGACTTGATTAGCGATCCAAAGTAATTCTGAAGAAGAGTATGCACCTATATGTAATGAGTGGTATAGGACACTAACGAGTTACTTATTGAATCGAGGTACCCAGAGCTGCTTGGCCACCACAGATGTCTTCACTGACCAGACTGAACTGATCAGCAACTGTCACTTCAGTCAGAATGCACCCCTCTCTGTTCACAGGCACATCTTTAGTACCGTTGTGGATTTTTGAATACAGTTTGCAGCGT